GTGACTTTATGTCTTAGTCACTTTCTTTGCCATTAGACTAAAATAGCAGACACCTACAACTTAAAGGAGGAGAGATTTATTTTGGATCAGATTTCAGTCTACAATCAGCAAGCTTCAAGTCAGGATGGCATGTAACAGAAGCATGTTGAAGGAGTAGTTGCTTCCCTCATGGGAACCAGGAAGCAGAGAATGAAGGGCAGAGCTCTTCAAAATCCTATTCCCTGTAACCTATTAATTCTGAGCCTTCCAACACTAAAACAGTTCAGTACCTTCAGAATCCAATCATCTCTCACAAGTCTTGCATCTGAGCATATGAGATTTTAGAGGGCAATATGCACGTATAGATCGTAATACCGTATATCACAAATGTTACATATAGCATAGCTTGCAAGAGTGTATTTATTGTTTAGCTATGACTTCTAAAATCAGCACTGAAAGTGCCTGAATTAAGTGAAGCCAGATGGTTTATTCATATTCTCGTTGGCTTTAATCCTTGCCCACTACAAATGCTTCCAGGAGCTTTGTATCTACAGAACCATCTGCCTAAGGATAGAGCTGGTTGGGCAGCAGCCTGCAATAGCTTGGTGACCTCTTTTTCTCTGAGGTGCACAGGAAACCAGCAACCCTTAGGGAAACTCCATAAATGGCTCAGGCCTCTATGCCTAAATGTGGTATATGTTAGTTCCAAAATCTAAAGAGACCCAAAAGACATTGTTGAACATTTTGTGGCAGAAAATATAGCGTATGAAAACATTTCATTTGCTTTAGGAAGGATGTTTTTACGTGTAGATCAGACTATTGGACCCCTAAATATATTACTTACATTATTAGTCCCTGAATCATTTTACATTTATGAGTCTTACTTTTGCCTGTTTCTTATGATTCATTATACATTATTTTGTTACTTAAGAATTTTGACACTTTCTGCTTACTAATATTAATTAATATATATCTAATATGCTGCATTAACATGATATTTTTGGAAAATGTATGTTAAATGAGAACAAGGTTGTCTCAGTTACTTTTCTCCTTGTTGAGACAAACCACCTAACCGCCACAAGTTAAGGAAAGAAAGGTTTATGTATCTCAGAGTTTGAGGATGTTTAAGTACACAGTTGGCTGGCTCCAAGGCAGAATGTTACATCACAGGAGGGCAGCAGTTCATGGCAGTGGAAAACAGCAAAAGCAACCAAGGGGAAGAAAAGACAAGACTCCTTCTGCCCCTTTTATCTTAACCAGACTGCTTGTATTAGGACGGTACAAATCCAAACAGTGGACTGCTGCAGATATCACCTGCAATTAATTCCAGCAGCCTTACTCCCAGCATTGAGCCATGTATTAATCACAAACTCTAGATTCAGCTACATTCAAAAAAGCCCCATTGAAATATGCGTGAGGTTTTGGGGGACATCTAGACACAAACCATAGCAAGGGTCAAAAGTGATAGCTCATTTATAACATATGTTTAGCATGAGCTAAGGTGTGGGATCAAGCATAAAGCACATTTGAGGAGCTCCCTCTTGCATAGGCTGAGGCTTGTGATATATCAATTTTCTTTCTTTTCCAAGATACCATCTTATCTGATTTTCATACTTGCCTAGTTAAAGAAGTCTTCACCCAAAATACAGCAAGTGGGAAGTTGGGATCCACATTGAATGTCCCTTACTCCACAGGGCAGGAAAAATATGAACACTGTTCTAACTGTGAACTCTGTCCACTGCAATTAAAGACACCAACACATAGCACCACCTTGGGATGAATATGAGTCAAATCTCAAGAAAGCATTGCCATTCTCAAGCTTCCATGCCACACAATATGACATAAGTTCTTCCCTCCCCATTTACAATTGAATGAATTGTACTTGTACAAAATATCCTTTATTCCATTTTCAACTTCTGAGTTACAAAACTCATGAATCAGTTCTCCAGATGTTCATTGTTCTTGGTTTATAGTATGTCTCAGACACAGGGCCTAATGTAGGGCTGTTTCCCAAAACACTCAATAAGGCTGTTGACCTCGCCATTTCCTGTATCTGTATTCACCTTTCCAACCATCATCCGTGAGTTGATGCTCCAATGCTCAGTCTTGGTCCTGCAGGACTGGTGAGCTTCACTGAAGAAGTTCATCTGTTTCTTGCCCACTGGCCTCTCTTGGGTTTTACCCTTGCTCATTAGGCACTATTTTCAGGCTCTTTTTTATTTCTTTCCCTTCTCTCTAAATAGAAGGCATCAGACCAGACTGAGAGTCATTTCTTCAATTAATAATCAGCTATGCTCACCCTGCAGGTGATCTCAAAGAGTCAGTTTACTGAGAACATAATTAGGTAGTTCTAGAGATAAATAAGGCTGATTATCCAACTCTATCTATATCTAAGTGTCTGTGAGCATGTATATGTTCACACACTTCACAAAGGAAAACAGCTTTTCTTCATATATCTAAGGTGTATTTAACTCTTACACTACTAAATCTGGGGAGAAGAAAGGAGCTTCAATAGTCACTTTGTTTCAATTTGTGTTAAATCATAACTATGATATATTTTATTTGTGTTTATGAATAATAAGGTATGTGTGGATAGATTTAAAACCAAGGGATTATTTTTATAAATATGAGAATGTAAGCAAAGAACTGACTCTAATGATTTGCATTTGATATACTCAGTATGTAAAACTTGCCACCAAGAATAAAATTAACATGAAATGTATTGAGATCTTCTATATATACTTTAATCTGATATTGGTAATGAGATGAGTAAAGTCACAGCTATTCTGAGGTACTGACCTGTTATTCTGACTTCTGATTATAATTGTGGAAATTATCCTTGATTCCATTTTCAACTTGTCTGGCAAAGATTGTCTTTCCCAAGCAGCTATTGGTGAGGTGGAACATACACTGTTTCCACCCAGAGTTGAAGAAGCAGGGGTGGATCTCAGGAAGAGCTCTTCAGGAGTGAGTGTAATCCTTGCCAGAGACTGAAGATTTCTATTTTTCTAAAAGGTTACAAAATTTCGGTAGTATCTCCCACTCCACAGAACACCACATGTGGTTGTTTGCATATCTCTTTATCCTCTTTCCAGAGCTCATCTATGTCACTTGGAAGGAGAAAAGCAAGAAAGTTCGTTATCATTTGATGTTAAATGGTCTGCAAGTGCCTTTACTAAAGGCTGTGGAACTATTGAGAGGTATGAAACCATTATGGGATGGGGTCCAGAGGAAGGAAATAAGGTCACTGGGGAAGGCTCTCAAAGGGGATATTGGGACCTTTATTCTATGATCCACTCTTTGGTTCCAGTTATTATGAGTGTTGCTCTACCACATGCTCCCTGGCATAATGTTCTGTCTTGCTGCAAGTGCCACACAGTAAAGCCAAGTTCTGATATCATAATCCACACTAAGCCTTTCCTCCTTTTAAGTTGATAATAGCAGTTACTTTGTCACAGTAATTAAAAACTGACTAACACAGGGGCCTCCCTGCCTCTATTCTGATGCTATGTCTATGCTTTTATTCCTCAGACCTTCTCTCTTGAAATTTCCTTATGATAAGCTATTATACCTTATCAAAATAATCCTCCCATAAGGGCACAGTTGTATTTTCAAAATGTGTAGTGTTCACTTTGCTTGCTCACTACTGATTGAAGGAAATGAAGATGTATCACCTTGTCACAGTGAACACCCTTGTCTTTCTCTGTCATCTCTGAGGCGGATGATATACATTTGCTGTTTGTGTAGCTGCTGCTGAATTTTTCCTTTGGTCCCTTGTTTACTCTTTAGCTACTGAAGAAGTTATGTTGTGGTTCTCTTTTCCATCACACTCAGGCAATATCGCATACTTTATCTGCCTTGGTGCCTGTAGCAAGGGTCAGAAAGTTTATACTGGTGGATGGTGAAGGACGAAGGATATAATCTGGAGGTCTTCAGGTGGTTGGAGGAAGCAGCCATCTTGTACAAGAGAGGCAGAGAAGCAGGAGGATGCCTGCTGTGCAGGTAAAGTTGTTCATCTCAGTGTGTGTTTCATGGGACCACAGGTAGATTTATACCCTCCCACATGCACAGAAATGATTGTTCTAAATCTTTCTGAATATTTACAGTAATATTATTCAGTTTGTATGTGAAAACATTTCCAAATAATGTTTTAAAAGCTATGAAAATATTAATCATGTCCTTGATGTTTATTAAATGAAAAATCTGAATTATACAAATAAGAAAAAGGGACATTTGTCTCCATAAAGACTTTTTTAATGTGAACATGAATGCCTATGGGTGTGTATACATGCCTTTGTGAAAAAAATGATGAATAAATATTATCTCAGTATAATGACCTTCGGAGATTAATAGGTTCTCATAATTTCCAGAATGAAATTTGCAAAACATGCATAGGTCTCTGTACAGATTAAATTTTCAAGAGTTTAAAGAGTATTAATGATTAAGAAATTCCATACATTACTTTAGATTCTTTTTTGTGTGTGCAAGTTGAATTTAAAATGTTATTTACTTTTTCCTGGTTCCTTGTTATTTCCATCATGCCATTGTTAATTTCCTATCATCTTGTTTTGAAGTTCTGTATCATTTTTGTTGTTCTTTTATTATCTTTAAAATTGAAAACAAAATGTAAAATGTTATTTGCCCTGATCCCTGGTACTCAGATTAAAATTCATAGTAAGGCAAGAAGGGCAAAAGGATGTAAATAAATACATCTTTGTTTTATGTTTCCTTCATCAACAACTACAAGACTCCGGGATCCTATGTGTGAGGCTGTCAGTACGTGGATGAAACTCAGCTGCGATGTCAGTCAGGAAGATGCAAGTTTTTTATGAAGACTGTGATGAACCAACTCATTTGAAAATGTTGATTTTTTTTTTTTTTTGGTGTGGTACTCTAGATGGGAGTTTCCATTAACAGAAGTATTATTTGAATTTTTAAGATTTAGATATATATAAAACTTTAAATGAATGCATTAATCATCTTTAGTAGTGATATTGCACGTTGAGCCAGTCTTATCAATAATGAGTAGTGTCACACTGAACATATTTACTATCATTGTTAGTGTAGAGTTCCTAATGGGAAATTTAGGAAATGGATTCATAATCCTGGTGAACTGCATGGACCTGATCAACAGCAGAAAGATCTCTGTAGTGGATCACCTGCTCACTGCTTTGGCAATCTCCAGGATCAGTCTGCTCTGGTTATTATTCACAAATTGGTGGAAGGCTGTTTTTTTTCCAACTTTCTGGATGAATATAATAATGGTAAGAATATTGTACATGGTTTGGATTGTGACTTGTCATTTTAGCATGTGGCTTGCCACGTGCCTCAGCCTCTTTTATTGTCTCAAGATAGCCACATTTTCCAATTCTATTTTTCTTTATTGTAAATGGAGAGTTAAAAAGGTGGTTTCAGTGATGTTGCTGGTGTCTCTTGTTCTCTTGCTTTTACAACTTTTGCAGTCAAATATGCATTTGGATATGTTGATTGATGAGTATGAAAGAAACACGTCTTACAGGTCCAGTTTTCCTGACTTTCTTGAGTTTTCAAAACTTCTTTTATATAGCAACACGCTGTTCACATTCACAGCCTTTGCTCTGTCCCTGATAACTTTTCTCCTCCTCATCTTCTCCCTGTGGAAACATCTGAAGAGGACGCAGCACAGTGTCAGAGGGTCCAGAGATGTCAGCACCAAGGCCCACATACAAGCCTTGCAAGCTGTGGTTATCTTCCTCCTACTGTACACAACTTTCTTTCTGTCAATTTTTATGCAACTTTGGAAATTTGAGTTTTCAAACATTCTCTATTTTTACTTTTGTCAGATTGGTGAAATTACTTTTCCTTCAATCCATTCATTTGTCCTAATCCTGGGAAATAATAAGTTGAAACAGGCCTATCTTTCAGTGTTGAAGTGGCTGAAGTGTGTGGGTCCAAAGATGAATCTCCGGGTTCATAAACCATTTGGAGGATGTTGCATATTCTAAGAGGAAAGTCAGTTCACAGGAAATTCTTGTTTTTATAATTTTGTACTTCTAAAATATTCTATTGTGCAGCTTTTAAAATTTTACAAAACCATGTTTGGCATAAGCTCTATCCAAAGACATTATAATCTTAACTGTACAAGTATAGGTATATACATATCAATGTATTTCTGCATGGTAGTATGTCAGTGTACATCATGTAAGAAAACTTTATTGTAACAAAAATTAAACTCTGTCAAATGTTAATTTTAACATTTTAAACAGTAAACCTATAATGAATAATATGTATGTATGCATATGAGCCAAATGCTAAGAAATAGAACTTTAAAATTTTACATACATACAATGTTTTCATTATATGAGTCTAAAATATAACATAAAAACTAAGAACAATTGTCTCCCTGGTGTAAGAACATGAAGGAGTAAATACAACCATTGTTAATTTCCTATCAAAAAATTAAGAATGAAGTACAGATTATTAACAATCAAGCTTACCAAATCTGTTACCTGTATACAAAATATACCAACCTACTATATATGAATTTAAACAATTCCTCAGAGAAAAATGAAATAAAATAAACAATTCCTCAGAGTCATGAGATTGTTTTATTCCAATTTCCTATTTATCTCATTAGTTTCAAATTAAGAATTCTTTTAACACATTGTCGTTAGGCATTTATGATTCACATTACAAAATACTTGTAGTCTCTGATGTAGTTTTACATCTATGTCACAGTTTATTTTAATTTTAATGCACAAGAATACTAATTGGAAATACCGCATTATTTCTCTGGAGTGAGAAACCAAAGTGTAAATACGGACCAAAATGTATAATAGATATTGTGAAATAGGCAGAAAATGTTCAAATGGGAGGACTTAGGGGAAGGGGAGAGGGAAAGGATGGAAGGGTAAAGAAAAAAATGAGAAAAGAAAGAAAAATGCAAACAAAGTTTTGTAACCAAGGAAGGGAATTTTGTTGAAGGGAGGGTAGGAAGTGGGAAAAAATGAATCAAGTTGCATCATGTACACATACAAATTCCCTAAGATGAAAGTGAACACTATATATAATTA